GAAGCAGATCAAAGCTAAAATATCTAACAGAGTCTTTGTTTCAGGACGTGGAGATGACCAGTCCAGGAACCCATTCTGCCTGGTATCAGATGTGTGGGGATGCGTTACAGGTTGGTTTGCATGTGTGTGTGTGTATGTGTGTGTGTTTGTGAGAGACAGAAAGAGCTGGAAAAGCCAGGCATTATACACTGGGAGAATCTCTCTGCAGCTGGACCCAGTGAAGGGCATCAACTTGGTACTCTCTCAATGCTGCATAAAAACAAAATCAAGTCTTGGCTTTCACTGTTTCCCTGCAAAGAGCTCAGTGATTTGACAAGTATGTCTTGCCATTAAATTTTAAGTGAATGTGTTTTCATTTCAAAGATACATTATATGTATATGCAGACACCCGTACACCTTCAGACTTGAACATACATGCATCAAGCTGCAGATCATACTAGTAAGGTGAAGTCATGTGTATGTATTTATTTATAGCACCATGAGCAAGCCAGCAGAGTACTGCACTGCAAAGCAGCTCCTATTGTGTGCAGCATACCTCCTCGTGTTCAAAAGCTCCTGAAGCTTTAGGAACTGAATGTTTCTATAGAGATATATATTTCGTCATTTGTACTAGCTGAGGATCTGTCCTGCAGAGTTTATTATCCTTTTGTGTAATTTTCTTCCTTTTCTTCTTTTTCCCTTTTATGATCTGCTTATTTCTTTTTATCCTCCCAATTAAAATATCAGAGTTCAGAGTAAGTGTTGGATCACTCCACTGATATACAGACAGTAATTGTACAGCACCTCTATAGCTTTCTGCTTCGAAGTATGAATTGATCATAAATTCAGAGTGAGAAGAATGTAACCCTAAGAGATGCAAAATTGGTTTGAATTAAAAACTAATAATATTAAAAAAGGCTTTAGCTAGCATGTAGTATGTTCTCCGTATGCTCTGCTGTGAAAATATTCTCATCCCATTCTGAAAATATGTGGATTTATTGATTAACTCTATGATTAACCTCCATAACACAGGGAATTCAAAGTTTCACGAGTCTTCATTTCCTTAGTTTACTTTATCCTCTCTGCACCTTGTCTTTCTTAGGTTGAGTTCAGTCTGCCCATATAAACACCTGAGCTACAAACCGTAGTTGTTTGCAGGTTTCAGTGTAATTTCAACTGTAAGTGTGAAAGAATAAAAAATTTCCTAATTGTAGCTGTCAATGACAGTGCTGCAGGTATTGTTCACATAATTTGCAGCTTCTGTCGCTGGGAAGCGCATCTGACTCACCCCATACATAACACAGAACTTGCTATTTCAAGGCAGCCAATGTTTTAGTGCTCAGACATCTACTCAGCCTTGACTTGATAATCTAAAATAAATATCCTTGAGCAATTCTACAAAAACACCTATGCAGCAAGCAAGTAAAAACCCTGCTGTTTATAGTTTGCAGATGCTTGGGAGCAAACACTCTATATAATATACTTCTAAACTGCTCTGACAATGGCTAAACTGCCTCACAGAACCACAGAATCATGGAATCATTAAGGTTGGAAAAGAACTCTGAGATCCCTGAGTCCAAAGATTAATCCAGCACCATCATGTTCACCACTAAATTATGTCCCCAAGTGCCACATCCACGTGTCTTTTGAACACTTATAGGGATAGTGATTCCATCACTTCCCTGGGCAGCGTATTCCAGTGCTTGACCACCCTTTCAGTTAAAATATTTTTCCTAATATTCAGTCCAAACTGCCCTTGGCACAACTTGAGGTCATTTCCTCTTATCCTGTTATTTGATGACACTCAAATAGTTCTGCTGAAAGTAGTTTGTTAAATCTTAAGAAGGATCCCTTCTGAGAATAAGTTTTTTGTTTGCATTACAATCTCAAAGCAAGACCTCTAATAACTAAAATGAAATCTTAGTGAATACTGATGATGGATTACAAAGCTTGACATTACATTTTAAAACTGGTATAAATCTTCAAGGAGCAAACTGCCTTTGGTTACTACTGAATCATCGCTCCCCTCTTCCCCAGAGGCAATTAACAGTTAGTACTTTGACACAGAGGAACATACATTTCCCACCTGAACTTTTGGCCTCTGGTTTCTAATGGATTGACTCCAATTCTCTTAGGCATTTTGATATCTATAAGAAAACCCCAAAAAATTCTTCTATCCAGCCAAAGATAGAACAAAAGCAAAACAGCTAATAACCACAGACTCCTCTGCAAACATTCAGAACATGCCAGCTGCAGAGTGCTTGCAAGTCTGCAAAAAGCAATGTACAAACCAAGCTGTAACTATCCCCTCATGAGATTTTGGCCTGTAAGTGAAAAAAGTAGATGCAGCAGCAAGAAGAGTAATGAAATCCTATGGATTCTGATTCCTGCTCTGTTTCCACATGGTAAGTACAAAACAAAATCACTCACTGTAAGAGGTTACCAGCCTTCCCCTTTGCAATAACTTTACTAAGGGAGATGCTAATCCAACCAGGATGAAAACCCTGTCTCATGTACCACGCTGCAGAGCTCATGTTCACTGTTGTGAACTATAACTGTGGAGTGTAAGCTCTCACTGATGGGAAAAAGAAACCCATCACAGCAGCACATGACAGTGACCAACCCTCAAACACTGAAAGATAATAACAATTAAAAAATCAGCAATGGCAAAGAGAGAAGGGTTAATGAGGGCCATGTTTTTATCTTTATCCTGAGTTTTCCTAGCAAGTGACAGAGCTGGCTGCCACAGTGTCCCTACTTCAGAAAAAGCTGTAGTGAAATAGAAACACAGAGCAACAAGTGAGGCTTATTAGGCTCCTGTTCTCAGTCCAAAGTATTCACCAGCATGTTACGTTTTAAAGACACTAGGGAAGGACTCTAGTATAACTTAGGAAAGCTATCAAGGCCACGTAAGGGAAGGTGAGGAGCTTTTAGTATACTGAAGAAACCCCTCTCCTTTACATCAAACGAAAACAGACTGCATTCAGTACTTCCACAATGATCTCTTAAGTGAAAAAAATACCTTGCAGGAGCTCTACGTACCAAGAAATCACTGCTTGTGCCCTGTACAGGGTTCTTAGACACTGTGGCCTTCTGTGCTCAATTTGCTACACTGATTTTAAAACCCTTTTCAGTCATTGAGACTTTTTGAGGAAACATAAAGCAAGCTTTTTCTGTTTCCAAGAGTGCACCTTCAATGTCATCTGGAGCAGTAAAACCTATTTTAGTCACCTGAATCACCCCACTGGGCACTCAACAGAGAGATTGCAGAGGAAAACACTTTTCTAGAGTTCCGTTTTGATCCTGAAGGAAAAATCTAACATTTATCTGTCACTTAGCTGTTCAGGTAACATATCTGAACGTATTACTAATTCTAAGGTTTGGTATATTCAAAGCAACTCTAGGCAGTTTTCAAATTTTTAAGCCATGCTGAAATCAGTCCTAGGGCTATACTGATTGAATGGGATCAGAATTGCTTCCTGAGGAACCAAAAGCTGGTTTATTTTGTGAGAGAGAAAGTGAGAAGAGAGCCAAGTTGAGAGATTCTAACTCCAATATTTGCACAGCACTGCCAGAAGAAAGCATTTGTTTCCTGTTTTCAGTCACACTAATGTCTGCCTGTTTCAGAGAATACATACTTATGCTGAAGAACCCACAAATTAGCATCCTCAACAAACCCTCAAAAAATTAACAAGGAGAGAACAACCCCCATTTTGCTAACAGGTGCTTTTCAGTGATACTCTACTTCTTCGCAGAAATAATTAAAAAAATGCTTTTGCTTAATCCCTAGAAGGCAGACCTTAACTGCGTAATCTAAAGAAACAATCAAAGCAAAATTAAGCAAAATTAGCAGTATATGCCTGGAGCACAGGTCACTCAGGGTTTAGATGACCTACATCACAGATGGATTATTTTTCCCTCTAGTTGTGAGAATGATTTAAACTTTTACTGACCTTTTGTGGTTAACTCAGACATTTCTCTCAAGTTTTCACTGCAGTGTGCTTACTCAATGAGCATAACAACTCCTCCTTCTGTACAAAACAAAACTTCTGCCCTAGAAAAACTCTGGCATAGTAACTATGTGCAAAATTGGAACAGGGGTATATTTTTCCAACTAGTGACATATCATTCTTCATTGTATCCTCCCTCCATCTTGCTACTCGACATTAATCAAAGGCTTTATCCGGGACTATCCTTTTGTTTTTGCTTTAGGTCGTAATGATGTAAGACAGCTGTGGGTGTAGGCAAGGGGTGATATAATTTGTTTAAAAAAAAATTAAAATGAAAACAGTCGCTTACACCGTTACATATTTGCCTTTCTGTAAACGTGTTTGGTTGCCTGTGCTACTTACAAAGAAAACAGCTGCCATACACTATTGTTTACACTACTTTATGGAAAAAAAAGAGCAACTTTAAGATAGATAAAACTCATTCTCTAGTAACTCAGTATGGTATCTTCACACTGTTCACTCCCTCCAACTGCAGTCGTGCTGCTCCTGATGGAGGAGGATTGCTCTCTGTTCATCAGAATCCTTTCTGCAATGCCTTTGTGATTTCAAAAAGAAAACATTAAGTTTCTTCTTGGTAAATGAGCACAAACCTTCAGAAACCTCCTGCAGTACAAACACAAACGCTCATCATCAAGTTGTTTAGGGTAGACAAGTTGCACTACACGTTCCGACAACACTGAAGCAAGCTGTAAAGAAAGCTTAGACTTTATGCTTCAAATTAGTGTCACAGCACCAAGGAAGCTTGTTCAAAATTTGGTCTGCACTTCGCATTATAACATGCTATATTGTTTCTTAACAGAGATCTTAAAATGAGCACAATCAGAGAAATGGAGAGTAGCTTCAAGATGTAATTAAGTGAGCGTTGAAGGAAGGGCTTTGCTTTGCAAACATCCAGCATTAAGTCTTCCAAGATACTCCCTATAAACCTGACCTTTGCCTTGCCAAGCAGCAGTTTGTTTTGCGAGTCAGCAGCAAGGCTGCTGCTGAGAACCATCCCCTTGCCCTACTTACAGTTCAGTGGTGTTGGTAGGGATGTCCCGGGGAACATGGACCACCTTGCTTTCCTCACAAATGAAGACCCTTCCCATGCATCGACAGGTGTGGTGTTGGCATCCCAAGCAGCCTGCCAGGAAAAACAGCAAACAGGCAAGGACTGAAGACATCTCTGCCTTCGCATCTGTGCCTGTCTCCTTCATATCAAAGGGAGGAACACAGAGACCTCCCAGACCAACTCCCTGGATAGAAGATCCGCCTCAAAAGCTGGGACAAACCATGTGCCCCTTGGGGGATGAATCCTCAGCAAGTTTCACTTCACGACCCCAGATTCTTTGTGCCCTTAGAGTAGGAATAGAGATGAGCAATGCTGATTTTCCATGACACAAGTATTTTATATTTAAAGTGGTGTTGAAATCATGGGACCCAGCTGTATTAACCAGGGCTCTTTTAATGCAGTGGGTATCTGCCCTGCGAAAAGCTCCCTCCTCCTCAGCCACATGTATTTTTTGGTAAGACCAAAAGTGCCAACAAAGCATTTTTACTTTATACAGTCCAGAAACTTTTGTCCCTGAAGGAGAAACACCCTATTTGTTACAGCATTTATGCTCCCCTTCATGGACCCAAGAGTCCCTGTTTTTGTATTCCTCCTAGGCAAAAGACGTGTTATTTTTTATGTGGCATATAATCTATTTGATAGATTAAAAGTTCTACAATCCTCAAACCAGAGCTAAATAACATGCCTTTTTTTTTCCAGCTGTGATTATTCTTCATGCACTTGCTGATTCATCTCCTTTTTATTTTGGTACCTTTATAGGAACTCAAGCAGAAGATGTCACAATCCCAATAATGTCTGTGGACTAGCAAACTAATTTCATCATCTGGAAAAGAAATCCCAGAAATATACCAAATGACTATTTGGAACACAACAGGAGCAAAGCAGCTTCAAGGATATCATCAGAAGGCCTGTATGTTGAATTCTAAGGGCTCTTTGAGTCCTTATTTGTTATGTTTACTATTTGACTGAGCTAAAGTATCTTGTTACAAATATTAATCCTGGAGGAAGGGACTTTGTGAACTCTTTGCTGTCGCTGAGTCATGCTGCGCCAGGCTATTGTCTGGAACCAGGGTTACTCTACAAGATGCCTGAAGAGAGCATTTTGACATAAAGGTGGGGGGTTGTTTGTTTGGTTTGATGGTTTGGTTTGTTTTTCTTTTAAACTGTAAATAGCTGTTTTGGATACACAGCTCTTATAAATCGTATACATTTTAAGTAAGTAAGGGAGCCACAGGTGATTCTCCTGACTCACATTTCTTAATCTTGTTAAAATCTGCTGTTAACTTGTTTTTCTTTTTCTTTTTTTTTTTTTTTTTTTATTTTTAATGGCTGGTTTTGTTTTCTTCTTCCATAATCAAAAAGCATAAACAAGTGTAATGAGACAGAAGACATCAACTTTTCTCTGAACCGTGCTGACCAAAAGACTCCATCCTTCTCACCTTTAAAATAAGCCTCATAATGTAGATGTTTCTGAAGGGAACTAATTAAGATTTTAAAAGGAATTAAAGTAATTCTTCAAGTTATCTTAAAAGCTATCCCAATTTTAACAAACTTCACTAAATATTTGTTATTTTCCCCCCAGCCATTTAAAGTTACTCAAGATGAGAAGAGCAATATTCAAACAAAAAAAAGGTAAGAAAAAATCATGACAATCTCTTTTTAACAATGGTAAGCTTATAATGAATTGCAATAGTATTCTTTTAATTGTCTGTGTAAAACACTGTCCATTTTGCTAATGACAGTGACTGCCAAAAAAAAAACTTTCTAAAACATGTGACCTTTTTTTCTCATATCTCTCTATGCTCTTTCCTTTGAAAGATTTTAGACCTACAAGGTCTTCTGAAATAAGCAAATCTTCAGTTGCCTTCATACTCAAAATGATATAAAATGCAGAATTGCACCCTATGATCAAACAAATTCCCATTTAGTAAAATTTTGCTGTAGCCCATTGCAAGTTGGAACACTTCAGGATTTAAACAAATGCCAGGAAGACAATTCATTTGAGGCTTTTGGAGTTTTGTCTTTTCAACAGAAGTCTCTAGCTTTTACAGTTGTAATCTAAAAGCAAACAGGAATTCCCCCCGCCGCTGCCCGAAATACAAAAGGTGAAGCTTGAGAAATGTACAAAGCACAAGAATATTTAATTACAGAGGAATTTAAGCCATATCTCTTCATCCTGAAATACATCCATATAAATGGTCATGTTATACTGATGAAATGGATAGCAATATTTATGACATAGTTTAAAAAGTGGTAACATTCTCTAAATGTCAAAATAGTTTTCACTGATATGAAGACATTGCAATTTGATTAACTCTGGGTTTTATATATCAAACCACAAAATTTGTTTCAGATGATACTAATAATTCTTCCATATGCAAAAGTAAGGAGATCAAAAAATACCACTGGGGTTACAAGATGTCTTTGCAATTATCAGTGACTTCCAAAATTATAACAAGTATACTTTAATTTAATACAACTAGTAAAACACAGATGTTCTAAAACATCAGGTCAGGTTCAGTAGAAAATCATGAGTTTAATGAAGAAAAATTCAATCCTTCTTATTTTTGATTGGAGAGGCCATTTTATCAGTACAGTACATATTGCTTCATTTTCATTTACAAGAGTTAAGAATGAGATGACAATTATTAAGTCATAAAAAACTCCCTCTCAGACCAGAAGTTTCTCTTTTAATACTGTGGAGATAAGACTTTGAAGGAAATATGTGGTTATCACTACATTCAATAAAACCAGACTAGTATGCTAAACAGAACTGACATTTCATTCATACTAGAGCAAGCACTAATTCAACACCACACAAAAACTATCTGAGAATAAATGAAGATTCAGAAGGTTGTCTGAGTTGTTTTATACATATGATCCAAGGTCTTAAAGAACAGACTCTGGTGTCTGTTAATATTTTGACCTGTGAATGTCTCTCCTAATTTCTTTACACTACTATCAAATGGCACACAGTCACATCATTACAGTCCCCTGGATGGATTAATCGGATGATGATTCTCTCACTGCCAGTTCAGGAGCACAGCTGTGTCCTCTCAGGAAGAACATCCATGTAAAAGAGGGGGAAAAAAACCACTTCCCGGTCTCTTTCTGGGGAGGTTGCACTCACAAGTCCTTCTTGAGTGCCATGATTGCAGCTACAACCACGCCTGAAAACCCAAAGGACCTGTTGCAGATGATCCATGACAGTCACTTAAAGCTAGTCCTAAATATGCTCCACATCTTTGTGCCATCGCAGGGTTTCATACTTCTTCCTCATTAGCTTCTTGAAAGCAATGCAGGTGGTAGACTCATACCTGCCTCAGCTACACATGTTGACACCTTCAGAGCATCATGTGCTGGGACCAAGGACGTATCTCATGGAAATGGCTGTGATGCACTGTCTTTGAGATTCTTACTGTTGAATGTGTAAATGCAGAGATGATGGTGCTTTCAGATATTTACAAGAGCCTTATCTTTGCATCCATTTGCAGAAGAACTGTGCTCCAGCTGGCAAATTGGTCTTGAGAATGTAAACTGTTTTCCTGAGTAAGAAAACAGAAATTTGCCCAAATTGAAGTACTGTAGCAACAGACATGCAATTAAGTGAATTATGACAGATATTCAATGATGACATTACAGATTATGAAATTAGATGGTATCTGGGACAGACAGTTAATTCAAGGTTATATAGTCACCAAGGAAACTTTTTTTAAGACAGTGGTAATAGAGTCTGGTTGATAGGACTGGCCTCTAACATCAACATTGGACTCTAAAATTAGCTTTGGTCTAATTCTGTGAGCACTAAGCCAGAGGAATAAAAGGGTTCTACAAACCCCATCCTCTGCCCAAGCAGCAGTGCCGGTCCCAGGTCACTCCGTCACCCAGATTAGTGAGGTTACAGAGGAAACTAAAATGAACCATCCCTGCTCTCTCTCTCTCTTACCCTCAATAAACTTGCTCCAAATACAACTCTAAGTTCTTCCACTACAGTGCAGACATGGTCAGCTCAGCATCTAAATCCAGCTGTTGGAGGTGTGTGAACAGCTCTTCTTCTTAAGGCAGGAAGCTCACCAGGTGCAGGAGTGCATCAGCCTACAGGCAAGCAAGTTCACAGCAGTGTCTGCTTTTGTTTCTGTCTTTTGAAACACAACATGACAGCTAATTAAGTAAATACTGTTTCCACTGATGTTTCCCAACCTTAGAATAGTGTTTAATTACTGAATACCACTTTAACACTGGCTTTGCTTAACAATAAGCATTCTCTAAAAATGTGTAGGCAAATAAATCACTTGTATGAACAAATGACATAATAACCACATCCAAAAAAATTTAATCTGTCAGAGTGGAGATTTCTTGCTCTTTTAATGATTTCTATCACATAGTTTCTCTCTATACTAGGCAGCAGTAGCACCTATTATCCTGACTACCAAGCAATGAGCAGAAAAAGATGTTTTTTATTTAGGAAAGCTTGCAGTGTGAGATGGAACAGATAGACACCTAAGAAGAAACTAGAGGAAACTACTAAAAGGGACTTCAACACATCATTGATTTACCTTTTATGAATGACCAACAAGGGTTTTAAAACAGCAGATCACTGAGGCCAACAGACCGTTGACCTGACAAAAATATAATGTTTTAGGTTCTTTCCAGAATTAGCCTTTCTGAACAGAATATTTTTAGCTTCCTCTTTTTTTCCACATATGAAGATTATTTTTAATACATTTGAATGGACAGACTTTATCTGTGCCCTCAGTGTCGAGAATATAAAATGATAAAGTAGCCTAATAAAAGCAGTAGCTTCTTGCTCTCTCGTTTTTTTTAGCCATCTGCTCATATGCAACCTTAACTGCAAAAAAAGAGTGAAACTGAGACAGTAAATTTGCCACCAGAGGGAGTGCATTGACTCGGGAAGACAACACACACTAGCATAAGGAGAGGATTAGAAGTTTTATGGAATTACGCTCATACAGATTTCCTGTGACTGCCTGACTCTTGACTTCAAAACTTGGCTGTGATTAGTTGTCCCCTTATTAAATCGCACCTCTGCAGACTGCGGAGCAGCAATAATCAACTACACTGTGTCTCTTGCTTCCCTCTTAGCCACCTCCCCCTCCTTAAAAATGAGTTAGAAACTGCCGTAAA